ACTTCTTTTAATTGCTTTTCGAATTCCTTTTCATTACTAAAATATAAATAAACAAGTTATCAAATTCCTCCTCTCAAGTATTTGTTAGTGGGAACTAAGTCAGCATGTGTTTATGGAAATCGAAGATTCTTTTTATCTTGTTTGATTAAACCTTGAAGCCCATGATTTAATTTGCATTTTTGTTGGCTAGATTATTGGGAGATTACTCAAAATATCTTCAGCTGATAGCTCATATAATTGTCTTGGAGAAACATTAACTTGAGCTTTTCCACAACATTAATGTTGAGATGTTACCACCTTTTTCTCCAAATTTTTGATTACTTTTAAATGCAATCTAGGCAATAATTTTTCTTTTAACAAACTTTTCTGAAGACAAAACAATAAATAACTATATAATATTTTTTTAATAAAACTTTTGATAAATATTTACTCAATTTCAATTATAGTTGAATTCATTTTTCTATTAAAAAAAAATTAACGTTTGATAAATTATTGTTTTGATGTACTGTATTTGAAAGCAAGATTATTTATTATTATTATTATTATTATTATTATTATTATTATTATTATTATTATTGTAAAAAAAAAGAAAAAAGAATGGTGCTCATAGATTTCATGTTTGTAGAGAAGAAAATAAATAAATCATTAATTTGTTACAACTATTCACATCTCGTCTTCTTTTTTTTTTTTTTGATCTAGTTTCGTGTTTTTTTTTATCAATGTTTTCAGTTAAAATATTTTCACCATTGATATTAGTAATGGCGACATCTCTTGGCAAAAATCATTATGATCGGGTCTTTCACTGTTTCTTCTAACTGTTGTTTGTGTTGCTGCTGTTGATTAATGGAGGAGGGGGAGGAAGTTAATAAATATCAAATGCGTGAAGTTGATTTAAAAATTAAAAATTTAATTAACATCTAGAAAAATATTTATTATATTAATTTTTTTCACTATGTTGCATGACGAACTTTCGACTTTAGTCATAAATTTAACAAAACTCACATTCGTGTAATAATTCTTTTTTTTGTATTATTAAATGTTTTGCTGCTATTTTTTCTTTTATCGTTTTTTTTTTTTGGCTCAATTCTTACATTAAAACAACATAATTTACATAGAAGAAATGTTTACAATGAAGTTGTAAAAAATAAAAAAACAAAAATATGAATAATTATAGTAAAAATTTAATAAAATTTTTTTTTTGTTTTGCAAGATTTTAACTTTCGCCAAGGGATTTTAATTTCGCCAAGGATTTAGTCTTTCGTCATAGGTTTAGTCTTTCGTCATTTTTTATTACATTTGACGAAATAGTTTCTCAACTCCAAAAACATTTCGTCATGCATCATTAGCATCATTAGACATGACAATAACTAAAAATTTTACTATCCCAATCACATCTGCTTATCAAGTAAAATTAATCTTCATATTAAATACAGAAATAGTATAATATATTGAAGTTTCACCACATTTAAATAAAACCATTGTTGTTTTACAAACCTTAAAAGTTCTATAAAATGAATTCGGAATTTTCTGACTCGAAAATTGACTAAAACGGCAAATTCTATTCTAGTCATCTTTTATGGTATAATTAAAAAATGTTCAAGTTTGAAACTGGTTATTTGCAGTATTTCACAAAGTTTGCCATATTATTATTATTATTTTCTTTTTATCCATATTTTTTTCAAAGACTCAAAATAGCCAGAGGTATTGAATTATCTGAAGAATTATTGGCGAATTTTTCTTATAGGGAAATAGCCAACATATTAAATATATCCAAAAGAGCACCATTAATGATTATTTTTTTTAAAAAATAAAACAACAGCAGCCACCAAGGCTGGCAGACCCAAACAATTATCAAGTGAAAAAGACTGTCAGGCGAACTTTACATGTTAAAAATCTTTATGGTAGGAAAGCTGTAAAGAAGTCATTAATTGCAGAAAAAAATATAGGAAAAAAAGATTATTTTGGTGACACGCAAGAAAAAATTAGGGGTTTGGAGGATGTCAGGAAAAAGATATAAAAAAGGATATTTTAAGTCCAACGGTAAAACAATCTGATGAAGTTGTGGTTTGGGTTTACAAGAAAAATGGGTGCATTAGTGTAAATAAATTTTAATTGATTTTCCATTTTATCAAAATTTTTTTGCAAACTTTTAATTGGATGTTTGAGGGTAAATGCAAGTAATTATAATAATCTTCTTGCGGCAAATTTATTATCTTTTATTAATGAATTAAATGTAGAAAATTGTCATAATAGTGTTGATGGTGTATTTATCTTTCAAGATGATAATGCACCATGTATGTCATAATGCAGCTGCCGCAAACACATGGAAAGAAGATAATGAGGTCTGCCCAAAGTCCAGATCTCAATCCTATTGAAAATTTTTGGCAAGATTTAAAAAGAAGACTTAAAATGAGAAACACAAAACCAATTTATTAAAAGAGGAATGGTTTAATCCCGGGGAGAATTAATAGATTAATAGATAGTATGCCACGAAGAGTTGATGCTGTTTTAAAAAGTAAATGATACCCGACAAGATATTGTTTTTTTTTTTTAATAAAGTATAATTAATTCAAAACAGTTTCATGTATTTTTTGTCATGTCTTTTATAATGAGCAGTTTGAGGTTGAATTATTTCGTAAATTTTTTTACGTTTTTTTTTTTTTCTCGGCAATTAATTTATCAAATGTTCTAAAATTTTAAAAGTAAACATAAGACGCATTTTTTACTTATGCTATAAAGGTCGTTAGAACTTGCAAAGGTTTTTTAAAAATTCTAAAAAATTCATTTTATTTTTCAAGGTTCGTAAAACAACAACCTGTTGTTTATATATGGCGAAACATAAGTATATTATACTATTTGATATGAAGATGAAATTTTACTTAATAAGCAAATGGGCATGGTTTCTAAGCCAACAAAAATGTTCTTTGAGGCAGATGGAATTGTAACATTAACTCAATTGATAAAACATGTCCAAATCCGTGGTTAAAATATTCACTTTGAAAGAAATTACTCCCTTCTCTTTCATTATCATCATCATTTGTGCTATGTCTCTTGTACCAATTATCGAAGGACATTCCGTCTTCATTCTAGCAACTTAATTTGTTTGACTTTGGTATGCTAGGGTATCAATCATATATCTGCCGACATGTTTTTGTGCATTGCAAAATTTCGTATATTAAGAAAAATATCCTACAACTAATTTATTGTCGACACTAATTTAACATTTAAAAATTTTAAAATCCATGAAATTTCTGATAATCATATTTGAATTGATTTATAGAGAATTTCCTGTTTCATTTGTATTGTTATAAAAAAATTAATTGAAATTATTAGATATATGTATGCGTTAATTACTCCATCGAAAGACAAGAAAGTTGATCTTTTGCTTCAGATAGCTGTTTGAACATTGTATATCTGGTTAAGGTATGGGATTTTGCACGAACAGGCCACATTAATAGTTTAATTTTACATGCAATCCATCATTTAATCACATTCTAAAAAAAGAATATCTTTATGGCATTTGTTACAAATAATATATAGCTTCGCAAATAAGTTTATGTATGCTGTTTATATGACCAATTGGTTTGGATATTTGGATACTGTCATTCTTCATGAATTGTTTACAACCTAAAGTTTTGTTTTTTTTGGACCACCAAGGTTTGCTATAATGCCAGTCAATTGACGATCCATTGGAATTCATTATGAATCATTTCAAGCATATTCGGTCTCAATGGGCCTGGTACATTCCCGAACCCGTTTTGAGCCAAGAATTATATTTAAAACTAAAAATATGCTGATTTCAACTTGGAATACAATTTCTTTGCGGGTTACCACCAGAGATTAAGCTTCCTATCGAAGGATCGACAAATGTTTTGACCGTTTATAATCAATCAATCGCAACCTAATTCTAAAAATAAACTTTAGTATCAATGATTTTATCAACTTGTAAAAATCATTGTAAATTCAATGATTTTTATCAAATTGTCAATATCATTGTAAATTCAATGATTTTTATCAAATTGTCAATATCATTGTAAATTCAATAATTTTTTTCACACAAATTGCCCATTTATAATTGAAAAATTAGGTTCGTTTCTCTAAATGAAAATTTTCTATCTATTTGTTGGAATTTTTTGTCTTCTAAATTCATAAATTATTATTCAAAATGAAAAAATTTATAAAAAGTGTGCCCAAGAGAAAAAAAGATAATATAAGAAAAGAAAATTATGGTAATGGTATAATACTTGGTGTCAATCATGTAATCTACAATTGTTAACTCAAGAGTCTTTTATTAGATGAACTTCGCAAAACGGTGCTCTTTAATGAGACTGGCGAACAAAAAGTTGAGGTTAATCAGAGGAACTTGATCGATAAGGTTTTGGCAAGGTATGTACATAATGTTTGCAAATCAGACTTTTGATTTTATTTACATCATTAATCATTCGATCATATTTTATTGATAGATATTCGGCAGAGTTCGTGATATATAGGGAATTGATGCAGAATTCAGGTAATAATGAGCCTATTTTCTACTTGTTCCTAACTATTTTTACCTAAAATTATCAAAATCATTCAGACGATGCCCAGGCCAAAACCGTCCAAATAACATTTGAAACCGACAAGTCAAAAAAATGCAGACGAATCATATTCAAGAATAATGGTTTCCTGTTTCGAGATGAAGATTGGAACAGGTTGAAAAAAATCGCAGAGGGAAATCCTGATGTAGAAAAGGTTTGGTTCTAATTGATTAATGCATCAGGTTTTTTTTTGCAAGATCATTTTTGGATTGTTGAGAATTTAATTGTGGTTGATTTAGATTGGAGCATTTGGAGTCGGATTTTATTCGTTGTTTTCAATTTGTGAAGAGCCATTGTAAATAATTAAAGTTTATTATAAAGTTTGATGTTATTCCGTTCAATTAATCCAATTTTTGACCGCGTGGTACCTTTTCTTTTATTAGCATTTCGTCAGGTACACAAGGTATGGCCTTTTATTGGCGCAATGATCAGTTATTTTCTAGAATGGGTGATATAAAACAAGATGACACATGATTTGGACAACTTTTCTAATGGATACACGAAGAAAAGAAAATGTACCTAATTATTTTATATTTTTAACCTTATCATTATCATTATCATCGTTATCATTATCCAGTAAATTGAGAACTTCTTTTTTATTTTAGTTACCTAATATAGGATCTTTTGGACGCTTCTTAGCCACATCATTGGTAAGTGCTCCTATCAAAGTCTGTAAACCTAGGTTTTTGAACACAAGTATTTACTCGTTTACTATTTTAGGGCTTTACAAGAAATCTTCGTAAAGTCATTGTTTATTTTAATGATACAGAAGTAATTCATCTGACAAAAGAGACCAATAAATCACTTTCAATTAATATGGATATTGGACTAAACAAATTTTCGCCAAAGAATATGTTCCGATTAAAATCTGTTGATGTATGTAATGTTCGACTACATTTTAGAGGATTAATTGGTCCTGAAAAATCACAAATATCACAATCCACTTCTCTGAAGATTGCATGTGGTAATCTGGGTGTAGATGTGTCTAAATCTTTTAGTGAAGAGATGGAATTTGCTACTAAAAAAAAACCACCAAATAACACAACAATACAAATGATTTTTACTGGACACGATGAACGCAATTTGCCAGGAAATTCTAATAAAGAAATATTAAATATTTTTAAAGACCTAACACCATTTCCTGATCAAGGTAGAATATTCATTGGATTTCCAACCCATCAAACCACAGGTTGTTCTGTGCACTTGGCAGCTCGAGTGATTCCCACAGTGAGTAAAATATTATGTTCAATTATCAATTGCTTATATTCTTTATTCTTTATTCTTCGTGATTTATATTGAAATCACTGAGTTTTTATAGGTTGAACGTGAATCAATAGATTTAGTACATAAAACTTTATCAGTGTATAATAAGGAGATGTTATGTTCAGCCGGAATTTTGGCTCGTATAGTGTATGATGATGAAATGAATCAAATTTCAAGGCTATGTATGGATATTGACCCAAAATTATTAAACTCTGATGATAAACAAGATAAAAAAGGTTTTGAATATTTACAGGAATGTTCTGTACACATTTTACAACACTTTACATTCAAAACAAGCACGCCTAATAATATGGTTGCAAAGATCATTGAATCTCAATTTTTTGACTGCACAAAAAAATCGCTACAAATTTTATCTACTCATGGTGTTCTGCCAATTAATTCCGTGCGGGTTCCAAATAAAGAGGTGGTTTCATTTATCAAAACAATTCCTATGGTCCCATTCTCATTGTTTACCGAGTGTTCAGAATTTTTCACAATAGCAAAAGATATTCTGAAATGCATTAGTGAGATTTCAATGGATGATGTGTTCGAGGAACTAAAAAGACGTCAATTTAATAACAAAGAATTATCAGATTTGTTCAAGTGGTGGATAGGGTATCGTTCCAAAAATGATATAACCGATGAACAATTTCGTAAATTTATGTGCCTCGTTTCTATAGGAGACGATCTTACACCTCTTAATCATATTCGCTACTTCTTAAACCCACATGTTATTCCACCAACTATTGAAGTTCCACCAGATGTTTTACCTTACTCTATTAGTAAACCATTACGAAAAGAAGACTTGGAGGCTCATTTTGGGTTAGTGTTTTCATTAGCTCATGATATCCATCACATTATATCAGGATGTTAACTTTGTATAATATCTTAGGGATTGGACTGAGCTTACCATCTTGACGTGGACTCAGTATATTTTTACAAAACCTGGAATAGATGATCCTGATTTTGCAGAAAAAATTTTGAGAATCATTTCGCATCAATTTAAAAACTTGTCAAAGTCTGACCTCAAAGCAATAAAAAAAATCATGGCTAAAAAGAGATGCATTCCAACAGTATCTGGTATGAAATTACCTAAAGAATCTTACTTTCCAGATGTCAAGTTATTACCTGATCTGCCGAACGTTAATTTAAAACAACACAAAATAAAAAACACTGACGAGTTTTTATTGTTTATTGGCGTGAAAAAAGTAATTTGAAATATTAATCATTAACATTCTTTTGTTATATGGCTTTCTTATGTTTTATTAAAATTGATTTTCTTAATTTAGCATGTTGAGTTGCAACTTGTGTTTGATCGACTTTTTAATAAAGGAAGTTGGGATCATATGGAGTTAATAAAATATTTGGCTTCAATTGACCTTGAATATGATGATATTGAAAAATTGAAAACTTCGGTTATATGGCCAATTGAATTTGGAAACAAAACCCAAAAATTTACAGCAAAAGAATTATATGCACCATTGCCCAAATTAATTGAACTTAGATTACCCATCATCAAATGGAAAGGCCGATTTTATAAAAATACTAAAGAAGGTATGGCAATTAAGCTGATTTGTGAGAAATAAATTCTTGGATCTTATAATAATCATTATTATCAATTGCGTAATACAGGAAAATTTATCTTAAAACTTGGTCTACGTGAATATCCGCCACTCGATGAAATTCTTAAACTGGCATCGAATCCTCCTATTCGTCAAAAAGCATTTGAATATTTTCTTGATAATTTTAGAGATAAATATGCTAAAGATTATGATGCAAGGTCAATAAATGTGCCATTTCTGCCGTGCATGGATCCAAATGTTTATTCAGAACCCTCAAAATGTTTTTTTAATCCTGAATGTGCAATAATGGGATTTAATGTACTACGCAAAGATTTACGTTGTAGAGCTGAAGAATTGGGTGTAGAGCAATATCCAAATTACTTGCAGTTGTCGGATAAACTAATCAAAGAGCCTCCAGAAAATGAAGAAAAGGCTAAGCTGGTTTTTGAATTTTTATTTTCATGCACATCTAGTTCAGACTCGACTGCTTTTAGTAAATTGAAATTTATTCCAACCCGTGACAAAGATCTACCTAATACATTCAAATACAATCTTCCACAAGATTGTTTTTTCAAGAACTCTGAAGAAGAAAGGTATGTTGTATTCTTTTCCCACTCACCAATATACATCCATATACTAACTAATGCTTTTAATTAGTATCGAGTTCATAGATTTCTTTCATTATGTTGATTTTGGAGATAAGGCAAATATATTTTTACGAAATTGTGGTGTCAAAGATAAACCATCATCAACCCAACTAGCTGAATTTCTTGTCGAATCTTCAGATGCATTTTTGGAGAAAATTGATGGAAATAAAAATAAATACATCTCAATATTGCATAAAATTGCTATTGATTTTTCTTCCATCAAAAAGAATTCAGAACTTTTATTCAAGATGAAGCAAGAACGAATCTTACTAGGAAGGAACAATGACGAGGCAGACAATGAAAAATATAAGTTAGCACGTGCAAAAGATATTTATATAAACGACAATTCATTTTATGCTGACATGTTTAAGCCACTAACTTGCCCCATCGATGAATTATTAGAAAAGTTATATCGGGTAATAATAAAATTTTATAAATTTTCACATTATTTATTGTAAAATATATTAACATATATATGTTTGTTTT